TGCAAAATGACTACTCTTTGTATGTATCGGCTTCCATGCTTAGCATGGTCAGTTTACAACAAGAAAAAAGGGGGACTGGCAAGATCAAACAGGTATTCTATATATAAATCATACAAAATGTGAGAAAAGAATGACGATATATATATTTGCCTTATGCAAAGAGACATGAACTTGAATTTAATTTTTAAAGTCTAACTCCAGGAAATTTTAAAATGATGCTGTGCATTACAGGGGTTAACTGCTCATTTAGTCTAGGGGAGAGAAGAAACATTTTAAATTACTGGATCCTCTGCTCCCCATGCTCTGGTGGTGAACTGTCCTTCAGTGCCATTATGTCTAATGCAGGGTATGAACCCTGCATTGGATTATATGATGTCAGAAGCTTAGACTGCATGAGCATCAGTAGAAGACACTGTGGGAACCGATCCAGCAGTGCAGACTCAAGTAAGTCTTTTTTTTACAATTCCCTAGACCTAAACAGGCATTTAAACCCTTGCAGTGTGTGTGCCCACTGCCAGGAATAATGTTTAAGTTTCCTGTAGTGGGGCTTTTAGGTAACAAACACTTTAAATGGTATAATGCTATGGTCGCTATTAAATATATTTTCCTTTATAAGAATATTAATAAGCTCTACATTGCTTTTATGAACAGATCCATATCCATTTGCATTTGCTTTATATCCATTCATTGGAGCCATGACAGTCGTTGAGTAGTTTCTAAACATTTGAACCAATGGCTTGAAAATAGTTGACATACTGTCAATAATAATGTCCAATATTAGGTTTGCTACAAAACACTGTCACAGACACAGTCAATTAATTTATTATAAAGGATCCAGGCCCATGCATAGTTACTCTACCAGAACCAGCCTTGAATTCACCTGAAGCCCCATCAGCCACCTCTAGAGTGAGCGCTGGATCTACATGCTGGACCATAAAAAGAGCAAAAGTACTAGCAGTCAAGTTACTTGAACCAGCAAGTAGGACCTCCACCAGCCAATGAGTTAGTGGGGTTGCTTTACTAAAGGCAAATAGGCAGTTCACATTGCAAAAGAAGTTTGCCCCAGAGCTCGGTGAATGTGGTGAAACTGCACTTTGCAAAGAATACCCAATCGTATTCAAGGAACAAAAAAAATAAACAGCATTTTTGCTTGCAGATGACTGAAGTCAGCAGAGCATCTCCTCTTCATGTATTAGTTCTGTGGCAAATTCCCTTGCAAAGTGAGCAGCCCATTTGCCTTTAGTAAATCTAACTCATTATGTAACATAACCCTTTGCTATAAGTTCTTTAGCAACACACAGCAAAGTTGCTGCCACATTCCATACCTCCAAGTCCAGGCAATTGTGATTGTCAGTCCAAAACACAGTTATTATTCAGAGGTAAAGTATAATACTTGTGCAAGAAGAAAAAAATAGCATTTATAGCTAGAGGATTGCGGTCAAACACAGAAAAGGTATAAGGACATGAAGATCTTTAGAGATGCAAAGCAAATTGCTTCCATGCTGACTGGTCAACCCTTTATGATGTTCCATCCTGCTTCAGTCTTCGGGCTTTTGGGAGGACCCTGCCACTGGAGAAGCAGTAGGAAGTGTTTGTGTCCCCAAGCATTTAGGTAAGGATTTTGGGCATTTGAATTTTTTTTTTAAATGAACTCCGTAATTAGTTGGGAGGGTAGTTGTTAGCAAACGGTGGTGGGAGCTGTGCCTGGATTTCAGATTTTAGTTTTAGAATAACAATAGCATTACTAGAAACTGGTAAAAGTTATATTTTGGTACCATGGAAGAGGGTGTGTCAGTGTCAGAATGCCACTGTTTCCATGGTCTAAACCTCTCTTACAAGAAACTGAACTTTGAAATGAAAAATTATTTACAGTTTTTTATCCTTGAATCCAAGTACAATCGTAAAATAGACAACTACACCAAGAACACTGGATGTGAGCATTTTGTGAGTGTTCTAAAAATAAAAGGCTATTTCTCTCCCCTTGCAAGAACTTTTTCTTTTCACACATAGTCAACACACAACACAGACCCGTTTTGGTAGGAGAGTTTTTTTTTTTTTAAATCGTGCACTGTAATATATAAGCATTATACAGGTAGGGAAAAGGTTGGGGCACCTATTTTTTTTCTTGCTTTTTGTATCCCTTTTAGCATTTCGCCCAGATACTGCTGTGAAATGAACTCTCTGTTTTACATCTCTGAAAAGTATTCTTCATTTGTTCTAATGGTAAATCCACTATAGAGCCTGTCCCCAGCTCCAAGAGAGAATATGGAGAATACACTGCAGAGATGGAGGAAGGTAGTTCAGCTCACATCAAGACTTTGAGTGCTCATTCACACGCTTAGTCTACAATCGCCTGAGCTCCTACCTCACTGACAACAACCTTCTTGACCCTTTACAGTCTAGATTTCGCTCACTACTCTCCACTGAAACTGCCCTACTAAAACTCACTAATGATTTACTAACTGCTAAAACCAATGGTCACTACTACATACTCTTACTACTTGACCATCCCCTCCTCCTCAAAAAACTCCACTCTCTTGGCCTCCGAGACTCTGCTCTCTCCTGGTTCTCCTCCTACCTATCGTAGCTCTCCTTCAGCGTTACCTATAACTCTGTCTCCTCCACTCCATTTCCTCTTTCTGTAGGGGTCTCTAAAGGTTCTGTCCTTGGACCCCTTCTCTTCTCCATCTACACCTCCTCCCTTGGTCACTTGATAAATTCCCATGGCTTTAAGTACCATCTCTATGCTGATGACACACAAATCTATCTTTCTACTCCTCACCTCACCCCTTCAGTCTCCTCTCGCATTACTAACCTACTAAGTGACATATCAGCATATATGTCACTCCACTTCCTCAAACTAAATCTTTCCAAAATGGAACTCGTACTATTCCCTCCAGCCCAAGCCCCCCCCCCCCCGACTTCTCCATCAAGATCAATAATACAACCATCAGTCCCCTCCCCTCATGCCAGGGTACTAGGTGTAATCCTAGACTCCCATATGTCCTTTCAGCCCCAAATCCAATCACTGTCCAAATCTTGTAGACTTCACCTCCCCAGCATCTCCAAGATACGCCGTTCTTAACCTCTGAAACCACCAAGCAACTTGTTCACTCCCTTGTTATCTCTCGCCTTGACTATTGTAACTCCCTTTTCATTGGCCTACCTAATTGCAGGCTATCCCCTCTTCAGTCTATCATGAATGCTGCTGCCAGACTCATCCACCTTACTAACCGTTCTATATCTGCCATCCCTCTGTGCCAATCCCTCCACTGGCTTCCCATTGCCCAGCAAATAAAATTCAAAACATTAACAATAACATATAAAGCCATTTATAACTCTGCCCCAAATTACATCTCCAATCTCCAAATATCACCCAAACCATCCTCTCCTCCCACGACCTCCTGCTCTCTAGCTGCCTTGTCTCCTCCTCCTATGCTCATCTCCATGACTTCTCCAGAGCCTCCCCCATCCTCTGGAACTCTCTACCCCAATCTATCCAACTATCGCCTACCCTGCCCACTTTTAGGCAATCTCTGAAAACCTCTCTCTTCAGGGAAGTCTATCCCACCTTCAGCTAATAACCGAATCTTCTTGTCAGGAATGGACTTGCCAGTAATGGTGGGACTCACCTGCCTTGTGGGCTGCAGTACCAGGGCTGGCCAGCGGGTGCTCTCAGCAATCAGACTCAACCCTGCAGCCAGCCAAACACCTGAAGCTGATTATGCAGGTGTATTTAAGGGATGGCCAGACCTGCAGTCTGGGCCTTGGTGTGTGTTTTTCCTGGGCCCCTGTATCTTTTAACCTGCGTTCCTGCTCCTGCTCATGCCTCTGCCTGACTTGTTGCTGACCCTGCTTGATCCTGACCGCTGCTGACTTCTCCTGTTTTGATCCCTGGCTTGTGACCCTGACCATTCTCTCCGCCTGCTCCTCCTGTACCTACCTGCCCGATAGTTATCGACCCGGCCTGCCTGATTACGTTATGCTGTATATGTGTATGTACCTGTGTATCTGTATCAGTCTAGGTTTGGGTTTGTTTCACCTTGTTGTATGTATTTGTGTTAGCTTGGGGTTTGGTGCACTGCGTTTATGTTTGTATTGTTAGTCTTTAATAAATTATATTGTTTATAACTTATATGAAGCCTGCGTTTCCCTGCGTCAGTTCACATACCTCTGGTCATACCCGGAGCCCTGACATTACACCAAGGCCAATCCTGACCAGAAGTGGCTGCACAGGGAAGCCATCTTGGCTTGTTGCTGGGAAGGATGGATCTTGATGAGGTTGTGTATTTGTCGCTGCTGGTTTTTGATGACAGAGAATATGCTTATCAGGCTCTGAGGGAGTATACCCGGGATCAACTGCTAGAATGTATACGGATCGCTCATGTTCTAGTAGATGAGGGCACAGGGTTCTCTGAGGTGCAACCTTTGATTCAGGTTTGTGTAGAGTTGGCTTCATCTGGTACCCCTGAAAGCAGGAATGACTTTTTGCCACCATTTAGTGCAGACCAGGTAGAGTCCCTGGTATGGTTATTAGAGGATGATGTGGATTGCTTCTTGGAGCATTATGCTGCATGTTCACCACAGGTATTAAGGGATTGTATAAACGCAGTGCAGTCTTTGGTCAGACAGGCTTTGTGTAAGCGGAGCTTTGTTCAACCCGTACTGCAGACATGGTCAGATTTGTTACACCCAGCCTCAGTCAGCTTGCAAAAACCCAGTCCTGCTTCTAATCTATTTCTTCAAAGCTCTATTCCTGCATTCCCAACAGCACCTCCAGTTACAGCCCAGTATACCCTGCTATCTACCGCATGTCAGTACCCTGTTCCCACTCGCTGCACCTATCCTGCCTTTAACCCTGTAAAGAAGCTCTCTGTAGCAACTGTTCCCTCTCCTGTTCCACCCTCCAGCTCTTCTCTGTCTCCAGCTGCTCCATCCATTTACAAACCTGCGCTTACTTACAGTGCTCCGGTAACTAAAACCAGGAAAAGGCGAAAGTTCTTTCCAACCAATACCATCCTGCCAGTATCCAAATCGGTCAGCCTCCCATCTGAGAACCTGCCTTCCGTGGTGCAGCGGCGCCCACAATTCAGCCTGATGCCTCTACCCAGCCTGATGCCTCTACCCGGCCTGATGCCTCCATTCAGCCTGATGCCTCCATTCAGCCTGATGTCTCTACCCAGCATGATGTTTCTACCCAGCCTGATGAACTGATCCAGCCTAATAATCCTATTAGGCCAGTTGACTTGATGCCCGCTGTCGATCCAGACGATCCGGTACCTGATGACCCAGTGCCTGCTGTCATGCCTGGTGACCCGATGCCCGCTGTCGAGCCAGACGATCTGGTACCTGATGACCCGGTGCCCGCTGTCGAGCCAGGTGACCTGATGCCCGCTGTCGAGCCAGACGATCCAATACCTGATGACCCAGTGCCCGCTGTCATGCCTGGTGACCCGATGCCCGCTGTCGGGCCAGACGATCCAATGTCTGACCCAGTGCCAGTGGTCATACCAGTTGACTCGGAGCCCACTGTCGTGCCTGGTGACTCGGTGCCCACTGCCTTGCCAGATGACGCGGTGCCCGCTGGCGAGCCAAATAACCTGATGCCTGGTGACCCGATGCCCGTTGTTGTGCCTGATGACCCGGTGCCCGCCGCCCCGCCTGGGGGCCCGGTGCCCGCCGCTCCGCCTGGGGGCCCAGCGCCCGCCGCTCCGCCTCGGGGCCCGATGCCCGTCACCCCTCCTGGGGGCCCGCCGCTCCGCCTGGTGGCCCGGCGCCCGCCGCTCCGCCTGGTGGCCCGGTGCCCGCCGCTCCGCCTGGTGGCCCGGTGCCTGTCGCCCCTCCTGGGGGCTCGGTGCCTGTCGCCCCTCCTGGGGGCCCGATGCCTGTCGCCCCTCCTGGGGGCCCGATGCCCGTCGCCCCTCCTGGGGGCCCGGCGCCCGCCGCTCCGCCTGGTGGCCCGGCGCCCGCCGCTCCGCCTGGTGGCCCGGCGCCCGCCGCTCCGCCTGGTGGCCCGGCGCCCGCCGCTCCGCCTGGTGGCCCGGCGCCTGTCGCCTCTCCTGGGGGCCCGATGCCTGTCGCCCCTCCTGGGGGCCCGATGCCTGTCGCCCCTCCTGGGGGCCCGATGCCTGTCGCCCCTCCTGGGGGCCCGATGCCTGTCGCTCCGTCTGGGGGCCCGCCGCTCCGCCTGGGGGCTTGGCCCCTGCCGCTCCGCCTGGGGGCCCGGCGCTCCGCCTGGGGGCCTAATGCCTGTCGCTCCGCCTGGTGGCCCGGTGCCTGCTGCTCTGCCTGGTGATCCGATGTCCGCCGCTCCGCCTGGGGGCCCGATGCCTGCTGCTCCGCCTGGTGATCCGGTGTCCAGCCCAATGTGCCTCTGCCCGGAGTCCAGCCCGATGTGCCTCTGCCCGGAGTCCAGCCCGATGTGCCTCTGCCCGCAGTCCAGCCCGATGTGCCTCTGCCCGGAGTCCAGCCCGATGTGCCTCTGCCCGGAGTCCAGCCCGATGTGCCTCTGCCCGGAGTCCAGCCCGATGTGCCGCTGCCCAGAGTCCAGCCCGATGTGCCGCTGCCCGGAGTCCAGCCCGATGTGCCGCTGCCCGGAGTCCAGCCCGATGTGCCGCTGCCCGGAGTCCTGCCCGATGTGCCGCTGCCCGGAGTCCTGCCCGATGTGCCGCTGCCCGGAGTCCTGCCCGATGTGCCGCTGCCCGGAGTCCAGCCCGATGTGCCAGTCTTTGATATCCCGCCAGTTACCAGACCCGGGCGGTGGAACATTTTGCCCAGCTAGGACTGTTTGGAGCGTCCTGAGGCCGCTCCTTGAGGGGGGGTACTGTCAGGAATGGACTTGCCAGTAATGGTGGGACTCACCTGCCTTGTGGGCTGCAGTACCAGGGCTGGCCAGCGGGTGCTCTCAGCAATCAGACTCAACCCTGCAGCCAGCCAAACACCTGAAGCTGATTATGCAGGTGTATTTAAGGGATGGCCAGACCTGCAGTCTGGGCCTTGGTGTGTGTTTTTTTCCTGGGCCCCTGTATCTTGTAACCTGCGTTCCTGTTCCTGCCTCTGCCTGACTTGTTGCTGACCCTGCTTGATCCTGACCTCTGCTGACTTCTCCTGTTTTGATCCCTGGCTTGTGACCCTGACCATTCTCTCCGCCTGCTCCTCCTGTACCTACCTGCCCGATAGTTATCGACCCGGGCTGCCTGATTACGTTATGCTGTATATGTGTATGTACCTGTGTATCTGTATCAGTCTAGGTTTGGGTTTGTTTCACCTTGTTGTATGTATTTGTGTTAGTTTGGGGTTTGGTGCACTGCGTTTATGTTTGTATTGTTAGTCTTTAATAAATTATATTGTTTATAACTTATCTGAAGCCTGCGTTTCCCTGCGTCAGTTCACATACCTCTGGTCATACCCGGAGCCCTGACACTTCTATTCCTCCTATCAGTTCATCCCCCACAGTTATTACCTTTTGTACAACCAGCCCCTCCCTCTTAGATTGTAAGCTCCAAGGAGCAGGGCCCTCTTAACCCTCTTGTATTGAACTGTATCGTTGCTGTATTGTTTCCGTTTATATTTCAAAAGTGCTGAGCAAACTGTTGGCGCTGTGTAAATCCTGTATAATAATAATATTTGCAACCTGTTAGCACACATATGTTAAGATGCTTTTCATTAAGGCAGCCTGCTCATTTAAATTAGCTGCCTAATGCACTAAAAAGGTGCATGTAGCATGTTTGGAAGCATACCACACTGCAGTGCACTTTGCTGCAATGCTTTACAATGAGCTGTAAGGCAAACCTGGCAACAAGCTTTGTTGAGGTGCCATTCAAAATGAATAGCACAACATCACACCAATTGTCATGGCAGCTCAATAGTCTAAAAGGGCAGGGACACAATAAATACCTAGTAAAGTACCTAATGCGTCTATTGTATCCCAGTAGTAGTACTATCTTCTACCTATATTATGCTTTCTTCCCCATAGTGTTTAATACACATACTCATGCTTGACCACATTTTGTTACCAGACCTCTTTTCATCCAAGAGCGGAGTTGAATGTAATGTCACTTCTATAGTTAGTCTCTGTGTATCAATTTAACATTTTAATTGTGTGTTTATCTAACTTTTCTTCATAATCTGAAGCTTCACTACTTCCAGCAACAGAACATCTTTTGACAGATGTGGTTGAATGTCTTCCAGGTTCTGCCTGCATTAACATCTGCTGTTAAGGCCATTAGAGTTTGCCGCGATTGCTAAATTGCAAGATATTCCATAGATCAGACAGATCCGCATGTAAATATTCTGGTGAATTACATATTGATAAATCAGAAATTATAAGTGTGTAACTATGCTTTTCCTTTCTCTCAAATAAAGCAATGCCATTAATTATACAGAGAAGTTGATAGTGTTTGCATATAATAATATATGTCATAGAAAAAGACTGTGCTATTAATAGTTCTTAATATTTTTTTCATAGTAGTTAATAGTTCTTTCAATGATCAACCTCCAAAAACAGGATATAGAACAAACTTTAAATAGTACATTGATTTTGAAAAGAAAACAATAATTGTAAATGATTGCAAGTATATTGTTAGCAGAAAGGAAACAAATTTTTAGTGATTAATGATCCCCACAAAACACAAAGTGAAAAATAGAAGACTTTAAAACAATTTAAAAAGAATGCTGTCTATGTCTTCAATTTGTAGTTTTCCGCCTTCACACTAAAGTTGTAGGTTTAAATAGTTTTATTGTATTCCAAAAAAGCCACTTCGAAGTAGAAAGTCCGCTAGATGAGTATAGTGTGCTAAAACAGGCTGCATATATCCGAGTCAGTGATTGTCACTACACAAAGCCATTGTTGATGTCTTACAAGACTAAAAATTATACAAATCCCATAAGGCAGTAAAGCCATCAGGCGTAATATATTGGTAGTAAAGCAGACTCTCCAGAGTAAACTAGAGGCTACAAAAATATATGATGTTTTAAAAGTTGTTGTAAGTCTTCCTGGGAATAAACCAAAGACTGCCCAGCCAATCCTTACGTATTACAGTTGTATAGGTGTGTTGAAGATGTTGCTGGTTCTGTCGGTAACTGCAGAGGTCCTTAATGTACTGTATTCAGAAAAGTCTTTACTGACCTTATCACAATTGAAAGGCTCCTTGACCTTGGTCTTATTCAGTATTACCTGCAGGCATAAATTTGGAGTCCATCAGAGTAGCGTGTTAGAGGGGGTTACGATATGGCAGATGAATACAATCTGCATTTACACAAACACTGTGGATCATCAACTAGAGACAAAAGATGAGACTAAGGACTCAAGTCAGCGTTTTGGTTTACCATTAATCATATAGGCAGCAATTTTATAATTTTTATAACAGTTTAATAACTAAAAATGCTTTCAGAATTGATGAGGAGTGGGTTATTAAACTTCCACTTTAGTTTATTAATACGTTTATTTGAAATAGTTTAAAAAAATCAGTGGGTATCCCTTTTCAATTTTTCTTTTCAGAATTGGGAGACACGTCTCGTAGTCTAGTGTACTTACCAGTTTTAGTTGATCCTATCTTCTATGTTTTTTTCTATGGGTCCCTGCTTTTTGTCTTTTAGTTGTAACCCTGGCACTGTCACATGATGTCAGGTCATGTGACAGTGTCTGAGATTTTGGAATAGAAAATACTTGCCATCCTCTGCTGAAGCAATCACCAGCAGGTTCATGTTGCTAGTGGTTTAGTCTTAACACAGAGCAGAGGGTGACTGCTGTGGGAGCCTTGACTTCCATTGTTTCACCAATGATTGCTGTGTAAGAGGGAGGAGGAGTTTGTTGGACCTGTACAAACAGCTACTGCACATAGTTAAATTAAATTTTGCGCAATATGCATACTTTTAGAAGAATTCACTGATTACTTCCTGTTGCATGCATTTTTCTGGTTCAAGGACTTTAGAGCAATACTTTCCAAAGCTTTTTAGTTGCATGGTCAAATTTAGAATAGATCACATGATCACAGATTAGTAAACACTCACACAGGAATACATTTACATATTGTACTGGAATTTTGAACTGTTCTGTCAGTTCAGATTTCCTGGCTATACAGTACATCTGCAGAATGTTCAGTGTTGCTTCAAGGCAAACAGCTTGGCGTTTCTAATAATGTTTTTGCTCCTAGCTGAGAGTATGACCTTCTCATGCTCTATTAATATGACACTACTATATTTGGTTCTACAATTTTGTGTTAAAACACTTTTTTAAAAAATTTAGAATCAAACTCCAGTATTTACTATTTGAAGACCGAGCCTTTTCTGACACTTTCTGTTTACAAGTTTAACCACTTCCCGCCCACAATGTACTGTGGCAGGGCGGCAGCTACAGGCAAAGCGATATACCCGTGGGTTTCTCTGGCTGTACTAACAGCTATGCAATCACATGATCACAATCTAAGCAAAGCTGTTATGAATCAGTCTATTCATAACAGCTCTGCTCCTCTTCCTAGTGAGCTGAGATTGGCCCACAGCTGTCACATGATACATGGGGTCAATCACAGCACCCTGTACCATGTGACCAATTCCAGCCAATCACAGATCACTATCCCGAGCTGTCAAAACTTAACTCTTTCATGACAGTTCATGA